AGCCGACCTGAGGTATATCAATTCGCGAACTGTCAGAATCGCCCACATATATATACCGGACTATATCACCGCGAACAAAGTTTTTATACAGGCTACCGGACAAATTTACCTACGCTGACTAGTGGCGGGCCCCGGCAAATTACCCCGTGGTGACGCAGGTTCGGACATCTAATGCCATTTAACCCCCCATCGCCATTTACCCCCCGGACAATTTACCCTGGTCGCCCCCGCGACCATTTACCCCAGGCAAAATTCACAACACCCTCTAGCAACAATTACCCGGCCCCCCGGACATTTACCCTCCTCCTTCCTCCCCCCTCCCTCTCGCACCCACCTTCCCACGATTCCCCCCCCCTCCTAACGTACCTCCACCTCTCCTCTCCTCCTCTCCTCCTCCTCCACCACGCTCCCCTCCTCCTCCACCACCTGGCCCTTCCGCTGACATTCCTCCCCCTCCTCCTCCACGGTTTCTCGTCGCCCTTCCTTCCTCCCGCCACCTTCTCCCACGGTGTCTATCCCGTCGTCGCCTTCCTCGCACCTCTCATCCTCGCTCCTCCTCCTCCTCCTCTCCTCCTGTCCTCTCCTCCTCCACCTTCTCCAGCCCATCGTCCTCTTTTTCTCCACCTTCTCCCGCCTCTCCGCCTCCACCACGTTCTTGCCCCAGTTCCTCCTTCTCCCTCTCTCCTCTACCGTCCCTCTCTTCTCCTCCTCCACCCTCCTCTCCTCGTCGCTCCTCCTCGAACCCCTTCTTCTTCACCTTCCATCCCCCTCTTCCTCCACCACCCTTCCTTCCCTTCCTCCTCGACCTCCGTGCGTGTATCATGTTCAAACAATGAATAATAAACAGCCAAGTGAGCTAAATGTCGGGGCGCTAATTGTCCGGGGGGTAATGTCCGGGGGGTAATTGTCCGGGGGGTAAATGCCCGGGGGGGGTGATGTCCGGGCGGGGTATTGTCCGGGTAAATGTCCGGGGGGTTTAATTGTCCCCGCCCCGTTTGGGGGGGTAAATGGCGGGGGTAATGTCCGGCGGGGTTATCTGCCGGGTGAGTTGTGCGCGGAGGGTGAATGGCATGGGGGTAAATGCATGGGGGTACATTGGCGCGGGGGTAATGTCCGGGGGTAACTTGGTCCGCGGGGGGTGATTTGGTCCTTGTATTATTATCCAAGTAAGATATCGCAAGTCCTCTTAAAAGAAGAAGTTAGTCTCTACTTTCATATATATGGTCAGTCGAATAGAAATTGGAAAAAGAGTATATATATATATATAGTACGTATCAGCGTCAAATGTACCTGGGGGCGGGCTGTCCTTAACGAACCAAGACACGGTAGGCGCTTATGACAGTTACAGGGCTCTGATTACGGGCGTCTAACCGACGGACCACGTCGACGGGGCCGAGCAAAAGAGCGAACTCATGACTCGCCTATACCGACAGGACACACCTGCCCAGGTACGACGACAGCGCGCGCATCACGCGACCGCGCACCACCGACCGCAGCCAGCTAGAGCAGCGAGCAGCAGGCAACCATCTAAGCACACACAACCACCGCAACCACCCACCGCGAAGCAGCAAGCAGCAGCACAGGCCACCACCACCGGACACCAACAACCACCACCACCAGCACGAGCAGCAGCAAAGTAGCAGTACCACCAACACCACCACCAGCAAGCAAGCAAGCAGCAGCAGCCAGCACAAGGTAAGTTTAACACGAAAACGAACCACCGCGATGCGTGTGAAACGTAAAATGACACGGGCGGAGAAGATGGAAAGTTGATGTTACGGGTCATTGTTCCGACATTGGCAGTCTTTTCGGCTTCCTGTATATCATTTCCGGCTACCGCCCATTAACGTCGAGAGTTCCGCTGCCGAGCAATGGCCTACGAGCTACTTGGAGCAGTAAGTGGAGAACGGCCCATATAGTACTAATACGATACTCTCCTCTCTCTTGTGCTGGTGGTGTGTGTTGTGTGGTGGTGTGGGTGGTTCGTTGTGTGTGTGTCCTGTCTGTCTGTCTGGTCCTGCCTTCCTCTCCCCCTTTCTCTCTCTCTTTCTCTCCTCCTGTCTCGTAGCCTCTCTCTCGCTCTCCCCTTTCCCCTCTCCTCCCTCCCTCCCTCTTTGTCACCACGGTCTCTCTCTCTGCTCGGCCTCTCTCGTCCACCACCTTTCTTACTATATCTACAATCCCCGTCTATCGACCAGGTTGGTGTTTCCGGCTTGCCCCGCTGTGAAGTCCCCCTCTAGACGCTCTTATTGCCTCTTCTTTCTTCTGTTCCCCTCCCCCTCTTGTCTCATCTTCTCTCTCCCTCCCTCCCTACTCCCGTGACCTCCCCTCCCCTCTTTTCTCATCCTCCCTCTTGCCTCCCTCCTCCCTCCCTCTCCCTCCCTCCCTCCCTCCCTCCTCCCTCTCTCACCTCCTACCCTCGCCTCCCTCACCTCATCCTCCCCTGCCTCCCTTCCTGCGCTCTCTCTCTCTCTACTATAACATATAGCTGCTGTCGGCAGGTTGGTGTTCACGCTGCGCTGCGAGTTCCTGGAAGCTCTCGTTATCTTCATCACTATCGCGAGCGTCCAATGTGTTCGCTTCAACACGACCGCGAGGGACCCAACCTCTCGCGGGGCCGAACGGATCACCGACGTGCCGGTGCGCATACTGCAGAACACTCTCGAACAGTTCGTTGTCGGTTGCGTCAGCAAGCTGACGCTGGCGACCTTCCTGACACAGCGCTCGATGACGTTGATCCCGCTGCTCGTCGCGCTCTGGTGCGTCGGTCGCGTCGCCTTCGCCATCGGCTACCTGTTGTCACCGATGCGTCGTGCAATCGGATTCGTGTTGACGTCTTTCTCGACGTACGTCGCCATCGGCGGCGTCGCCTATTGCTGCTACACATCCGGTATAGGTCACGACATCGGCACGGTGGCGGGCGTGTAGTGACGTCATAGAATGGTAGAGTAATCTACGTTGAGTGTTAGAGTTAGGATTATATATATAATATATATGTCACGATACACTTGTATATATATATATATATATATATATATATATATATATATATATATATATATATATATATATATATATATATATATATATTCATGTATAATGCACCCTATCATCTCCCACTAGGTGGCGTGCGCAAACCACAATAACTATGGTCCCCTATATACAAGAATCTGCATTCAATCTGTTATATAGGGACCTAACAATAACTCTTCTTGTGCAGTTGTAGTGTATTGAGTGAGTGCTCTTCTTAATTGCCTAGATAGTAATCATCATGCTTAACGGAACTCGGAAAGTGAATCTATTGTCCGGCTTTGAGAAATCGCGATGTTAACCAAAGCGCTTTTATTTTAACTTCTATGTTGAACTACACACGCGAATTCACATTCGGATTTTACGCTGCATCGTGTTAGAAGACAAACCCGTTGTATCATTCATGACATGACGCTTTTATTCGCCGACCACGTCGGTTGCTATTCGCGTTGTATTCGGACGTCGAGCGAGTTGTGTTCGTTGGTGATTACGATCATTGCTGATCGCTAATAAGCGATAAATCCATAAAACACAGTTATCCGTAACGTGTTATAGGATTCCGGCATACTGTTAAAATAATCACATGCAGTCTAATACGCTGAATCGCATCAGATTCTGTCTCGCTTGCGCGCGCTGGCGTGCTCTCTCTCTCTCTCACTTTCTCGTTTCTCTCTCGCGCGCGCTATCTCTCTTTTCTCTCTCTTCTCTCTCTATCTTTCTCTCTCTTCTCTCCCTCTCTGCTCTCTCTTGTGCGCTCTCTCTTTTTATCTTTTCTCTCTCGAGCGCGCTATCTCTCCATCTCTCTCTCTCTCTCTCTTTTCTTTTTCTCTCTCCATCTCTCTCTCTCTCTCGCACGCTATCTCTCTCTCTCTCTCTCTCTCTCTCTCTCTCTCTCTCTTCCCCCTCTTTCTTTCGCGCTCTCTCTTTCGCTCTATCACGATATCAAATAAACCTTTTCAAATAGAATTTTCTTCATCGTATAATATGTATATGTGTTTGCTTGCTGGATGGCTGGAACGTAAACACCCACAGTGACAATGAGCGTTCTTAAATATTTCTCCTGGTAGATGGCGCAATGATGTTGCGCGTTGATAATACGCAGAAGCGTTCTAACTATAGGGACCCTAGTTCTAACTATTCGTCAAAACTATACGAAACATATTCATGTTGTTGTGTGCATGTGAGTTGCTCGGTTTATTTTCCACTATGCTCCAGGTATCTTGCCACACCTACAAACAACATTTCCTGAAAACAAAACAAATTATAAACGTTTACACATGTGTGTAAAATGTAGTATGGGATATAAATAATTTTAAGAAGTTTTTATTCATTTTAATTAATTGCAGCCAAAGTATTTAGGAATTTTTAATAGGACCAAGTGACAGCACTGGGTGATACTGCATCAAAAAGCAATGCCACCACAAAAAAGTATGGGTACAAACAAACACAAACACACACACGCAGACGGACACGCACACGCACACGCACACGCACACGCACCCATCTTGAACGTATAGGCTGAAAGACTTTGATTTTCGTTTTAGACAAAATTGAAAATCAAGGTTGGTAGTTTGCGACAAACTGACAAAGATACAGGTTGTATACCGCAAGTGCAATTAGTTCTGGCACACTGGTGGCTGCCACATCGAATGGAAAATACTCGGCTGCGTTCTGGAATTCGCAAATGGTCTAAATTTATGTTGATTCCCGAGGCCACGACAAATAAGAGGAACCAACCCGCTGTATACAACGTACGATGCTGTTGTAGAGGAGCCATCCAGATCTAGAGGAATCCGGATCTGGAGGAATCCGGATCTGGAGAAATCCGAATCTGAAAAAATCCGAATCTGGAGAAATCCGGATCTTGAGAAATCCGGATATGGAGGAATCCGGATCTGGAGAAATCCGGATCTGGAGGAATCCGGATCTGGAGAAATCCGGATCTGGAGAAATCTGGATCTGGAGGAATCCGGACCACCGGATTCCAAGCGTAGGTCGGATACCCAGTCGAGGAGTACACGAGAACACAATCTCTGAACACATCAACACGATACCATGCGATGCGGGAGATCCTTATGAATATTATGCTTCCTCCTAATGAGTTAAGAGTGACATTGAATTAACAAAAATACTTAGTGGTGACTCTCTTGTGTAGATGGTCTCATATGTGTCTGCGCTACAAGTGTAGAGGCAAGCAAGTGGGGGACCCCCATGAGGACAGCAATGCAGGTCGCTTGGCATCGGCAGGAGAAATGCGGATCAGTAGCATTGGACCTCAGGACGTTCTAAATACTCAGAATGAGCATTTAGGGTAACGTCCTCCGGAGACAGTAGGAAGGACAGAGTACGAAAAAATGAGAATTTATTCACGATCAAACCAGCAGCGCATGAGGCGACAGTAGTGTGTACACCAGCAGTAACACCACAGGGGTGCAGCAAGAATTCCCGATAGGGCAGCAATAGGAAAGGACTTTGTCAGAGTACCGTGAAGGTCGGGAATGGGGGTAGAATGCGTTCTACAACCATCCCCAACGGGGACCCGTTTGGCCGCCCGCTCAAGCTATTCAGCGTCAGCCAACGCTGGAACCTGAGCCCATCTTGGCGGTGTAGCCTACATTAAACGACGCTCCCTGCTCATATAAGCATCGATCAGGCAAAGCCCCACCAAGTCTAAAGTTATAAAGTACATAACACGATGCGCTTGCCGTGAAGTGTTCCATCCGCTGATGTTGTCGCGGTAACGGGAAGGTCAATACCTCCAAGCAAGCCTGGCTTTCCATCCACCACCACCCTCCCAACAAGCCGTACAGAGAATTACTGACGATGCGCATTTGAATTTTCTCGTAGCTCGATTCGCTTTATGATGTTCGAGAGGTTTAGCTCGGGCAAATTATGTCTAAAGGTCCCATGTGAATAAGACCACATGACCACGGGCTTCTTATATTTGTGTACTGTAGTTTCGTAGCGGTGTGTTGTCGATTGGAAAATTAACATCACAGAGTTCTTAATCGGCACTCGAATTTCCGAACACGCGTGGCTACAAGTTGGCTTGGCTCGGGAAAAATTAATTTAAAAAGTCTGATTAGAAATATCAGCATGTCGCCCATTCTCGGTAGAGTATAGCCTCATATAGCGTGGATCTCAAGGCAGCGATGTTAATGGGGCAAAAAATACGTGGTTGTCGTACTGAGTCGTCGCTTGTTCCGTATTTCAATTCCCGCAACATGTGCACGGCGTGTTTTAAACACGAAAAATTATGACGATTTTATAGGAATATATTATGACAAATAATATTATAACTAACAAATCCTGTAGCATATACACAGCATACTTCTCCTTTCGTCCTCACAGCACCTATAGCATTGCTTAGCACACAAACCGTAACAAATGGCCGCCCATGCAGGCTTCCCCGGCATTCTAGTAGTAAAACAACAAGGCCTAGTAACGAACTAACTTTCTTTGTACTATTCTTCTATTCTCCTTCTATTCGTCTGTTCTCCTTCTATTCTTCTTCTATTCTATTCTATTCTATTCTATATCTATTTCGCTTCTATTCTATTTCTATTCTACTTTATATCTATTCTTCTATTCTATTCTTCTTCTATTATTCTTTTATTCGAATTTTTTTCTGTTCTATACGCACTTTGAAATTGGTGCGTGACACACGTGTACTACAAATCAGCGCGTATGAATTGGCATGGTCAGTAAAAACGCTGCAAGATTGCATAAAGCTATTGTTTGTAAAAAGACAAGCGACACGTTCTGACTCATAATTACCTAAACTCGACTCCAGCTGAGAAATACCGATTGGTATACCTTTTTAAACGCAGCCACTGCGCGGGGTATGAAGTCTTCATATACATATTTTTTGTTTACATAAGCGTATAGGCACTTCGCACCCCCTTCATGTTATTATATCCATTGTTTGCATAAGAATTAATGCGAAATAAAATTAGCTAAAACCATGCATTGTTCGTTAATATTTTTGAAGGACCAGCAGCATTTCAGCTCTGTGCTGTGCTGTGCTGTTTGCGGTTAGCAATAGAGAGTTTGGATCAGTATAGACCACTGTTGTGACAGTCGGCGGCGCGCTAATAGCGTGCAAACATGCAGTTTCTTCGCAGCGATTAATTAACGGAATTTTTTTCTTCTTCATCTTCTAAAGATTCATCTTTAGCTTTTTCATGCGTAAAGTTAATATCCGTTATAGAGTAGTGATGAAGAGACGGGATGTTGGGCTCAGCTGTTTCTAGCCCCGCCTCATTTGACTTGGTTCTCCATCACTCGGCGAGCTTGCTCTCTTTCTTCTAATATATAGACGCGCCAAATAACGCGAATCAGTAACTATATTGTACACACCATGTGCAAACTAAATTCTAACTCATCGCGCTACCTTCCCGCAACGTTTCGCATGCGAGAGCATTGAGTAGACAATTTTTTTGCAGCAATTTTTTTCCCGAAATCATTTCTACTCGGCATCGTAGCGTGTCTCGGCTTTTAATACAGTATATAGACGTACGATGTACGCGCAGTTGTTCTATACGGACAGGATGCGTGTGGTTTTGATTTCCTTTCTCTGCGTTCACAGATTGCGGCTGACGTATATATACTCTCTAGTTGTTTACCACGGCAATCTACTGTTCCAAGGACACACGAGAATGACGTGACCTGGCAATTGCGAAGTGTAAGGATAATGCGAGGGCAGACGCGCCTACAATGACTTCTCTATGTCGTTTGTAAGACTCATAATTATCTGCGTATGTCAGGCGGATGGGTTTTAGCGGCGTAGCATCACTTATTATTTTTCTGACACGGGAAGCGTGTTAGATTAGTTACCGCGGCCGCGTGGATAGATAGCCGCGAGGGAGAAGCTAGAGTACGTGTTACTGCATGACTCGCACTTACAAGCGCCTTTACTTCTACCGTGTGGCCGTGAACATTCTCCGAATATACTTTACGACACTACGTACAGCAAAACGATGAGGTGTGTGTGTGTGTGTGTGTGTGTGTGTGTGTGTGTGTGTGTGTGTGTGTGTGTGTGTGCGCGCGCGCGTGTGCGCCATCGTGTGCATACACGATGTCTCATTCGCGTTCGGGGTAATGTATTTTACTATCAATTGTACTTAGACCGAAAGAATGGCGCTGTACCATTATCGTGTCATTACTTTTATCGTTTGTAGGCAATTGAAATTTATGGGAACAACGACGAGACACGGAACAAGCTTAATGTT